ATCATCTTGGCAGAAGAATCTCGCCATATCACCTCTTTTCCCACGCCAGATAGTGGTCCATACAGATTTAAGCGATTGATAATGGGTGCTTGTCCATCTGCAGAATATTTCCATGATGCAATCAACCTGGTCATGAAAGAAATTCCCGATTGCCAGAATATATCCGACAACATTTGGTTATTGTCGAAGAATAAGAAAGAGCATCTCAAACAGCTAGACCAGCTTCTTGGAACACTCGAAGGAAACGGAATCTCTTTGAAGTTTGCGAAGTGTTCATTCGCGGTGCAACAAATCAGTGTGCTTGGTCACATAGTCTCAAATAAAGGAATACAACCTGACAAGAAGAATGTCGAAGCGGTAGCCGACGCCTCAAAACCTAAGTCAGCAGCAGAAGTACGATCTTTCTTAGGATTAGCTTGTGAATTATTGTTCAAGATATATCCCAGATTACAGTTCGGTAACCTACCCTCTACGGCAACAACAGCACCCAGATTCAGCAGCATATAGATTCACCAGAGTATCGACCAGTTGCATTCGGAAGTCGATCACTTACAGAAACAGAAATTAAATATGGGCATATTGAGAGAGAAGCAATAGCCATCGTTTTCGGTTGCGAGCAGTTCCATCTGTACCTTTATGGTAAACGTTTCGAGTTGGAGACAGATCATCGCCCATACGAGCTTATCTTCAAGCCAAAGTTGACGAGTCATGGAAAGCCTCCGCCAGCAGAATTGAAAGATGGCTCTTACGATTACGAAAGTACAATATTGACGTCATGTACCAACCAGGAGTGCAGCATCTAGCTGATCACCTTTCCCATCTTCCAACCAAGACGCCATGGAGCAATATGGAGGCATGCGGAGATCGGTTTGTCCATTATTTGGCAGAACAAAACACTCCAGTATTTATGTCCACAAAAGAAATCAGAGAAACAGCTGATGTTGATCATGATCCAGAGACGAAACAAATCCGAGAAAGTATAATCAATATTCAAAGATATAAACTTCCTCAAGATTACAAGTTGGTTGGGGACGATTTGTCTATAACCAAGGACATTGTTTTACGAAGAAATCGGATTGTCTTACCTGCAAAACTCTGACCTCGAGCAATTGCCCTTATACTGTATAATTTCTGAAGTTACGTAACTTCAGAAATTATACTTCAGTAGCTCGATTCAGTCTTCGCAACACATGGTTATCCAGAAAAAATTAAGTCGGATAACGTTTCCTATTTCACATCACAAGAATTCCGGGAAACGCTCAAGTGCTGGAGAGTAAAACTAATTACCGTTACTGAGTATCGGCCCCAAGCCAACAGCCAGGTGGAGCGGTTTAACCAAGTTCTACTGAAGCATGTACTAACATCTAGAGCAGGCAATGAAGACTAGCGTACCACGTTACCAAGAATGCTGGGAAACTACAGGAGTACACGTCCACATCAAATAACGAAAGAAACCCCTGCCAAACTTCTGATGAATAGAGAATTACGTACCAAGATTCCGACGAACAAACGTCCCTCAACAACCTAAAAGCTGCGCTAACGGGACAGAACGTAATGTCCCACTTTGATCAAAACATGCCAACCGAAATCATCGTTGATGCCAGCCCTGTCGGTCTCGCTGCCCTTCCCGTTCAAGCTGGAAAAGTTATCAGCTACGCCAGTCGTGTTTTATCTGACATCGAAAGTCGTTACTCGCAGACGGAACGCGAAATGTTAGCCGTCGTTTGGGGAGGTGAACACTTTCATCTCTACGTCTAAGGCTCACGTTTTCAGATCATCACGGATCATAAGCCTCTTCTCGCCATCTTCAAGACCCAGAAACCTGCAACACCGCCCATGGACCGATGGAAACTCCGTCTCATGCCTTATAATTGCAAGTTACAATACCGCCCTAGGAAAGACAACCCCGCTGACTTCTTGAGCCGCCATCCCGAGCCAGTAAATTTCATAAACGAAACTGAGAACTTAGCTGACCTTTACGCAAATTATGTTTGCTCGAACGCCATTCCCAAAGCCATAACTCGTGAAGCAATCAAACTTGAAACCAAGCTGGACCCTCTCCTCCAAAAAGTAGCCACAGCGATTTCCCTCAACAACTGGACTCATCCAACTGTCGAACGCTACCACCGTTTCCAAGACTAATTGATGGTCTGTGACGAAGTTAAACTCCGTGGAAACCGTACTGTTGTCTAACAGTCCCTGCACAATCGAGCCATCGAGTTAGTCCACCTTGGCCATCAAGGCATTGTTTAAACAAAGCAACTTCTACGCGAAAATGGTTTCCAGACATTGACAAAATGGTTGAAGCCAACGTCAAAACGTGTTTGCCCTGTCAAGCCTCTACCCAAGGAACGTCTTCACCTCCAGAACCACTGAAACCCACCCCGCTTCCAAAGAAAGCTTCGACCAATGTAGCAGTTGATTTTCGTTGGACCATTTCCCGCAGGCGAATACCTGATAGTCGCGATTGATGAATACAGTCGATACCCGAAAGTCGAGATTCTCACCACAACATCCGCGAAAGCCGCAATTCCAAAGCTTGATGCCATATAAGACAAGGCATCCAGACAAGGAATCCCTCAGATTCTCAAGTCAGGTAATGGCCCTCCATTTAATGGTGAAGTGTTTGAGAACTTTTCCACCTACCTCATATTAAGCACCGTAAGATAACCCCATACTGGCCAAGAGCTAACGGCGAAGCTGAACGCTTCATGAAAACTATAGGGAAAGCAATTCGAGCTGTCACAGTTAAATGGCGGAACTGGAAACAAGCCATGTATACCTTTCTTCGCCAGTATCGTGCCACACAACATACCACAATCTCCGTATCCCCTAGCGAAGCACTAAATAACCGAAAGCTAAAAACTCACCTTCTAGATTCCCCATCAACACCAAGCAACTCCAAGAAAGATGAGAAGATACGTAGTCGAGACGAAAAGAACAAATCAACCATGAAATCATACAGGGACAAACGAAATCGTGCCAAGTCAAACAGCATCACCCTCGGTGACACTGTCCTCCTACGACAACCGCAATTGAGTAAACTGTCCACACCATTTGACCCTGAGCCCTTCCGCGTTGTAGCAGTTAAGAACTCGATGATCACCGCAAGAAACAAGCTCAGAACAATAACGCGCAATTCCTCCTTCTTTAAGAAAAATACCCCATCTCCCTGTTCATCTCGAAACCTCCGACGACCAAGACATCCTACCTAAAACAACCACCTAACCTTCACAAACGCTTTCGCCACCACTGAGGAGATCCTCTCGACAACCAAGACAGCCTGAACGCTATGGTTATGCGAACTCAACAATATATACATTTTGAAACGTGGCACCATTTTGATTTATTGACAACTACAAACTGATAATCGTTAACTAATATTTTAGATTTAAAAGAAAAAAAAAATTATAAAGAAGGTCAGGGATGTAGTGTCCTTAGATACGGTATCGTATTGCATTTTAAACTGATTACCTTATGCTTGTATATAATAGTTATTTCTTAATATCACATTACATTATTATAGCACACAAGCTAGTGCGTGTATTCGATTCGATTCGAGGATATAATATAAACACAACAGTAAGAAACAAGTCGATGATGACGAACTGCGGAAAACTAATCGTATGACAAGCAGTATGCAGACACGAGGTTGAAAGCGAAAAAGAAAAACCTAAAGTAAGGAGACTTTGTTTTGCTACAACAGAAGCATAAGAACAAATACTCAACCAATTTTCGATCGGGTCCTCTGGAAGTTGTTCAAGTCAAAGTTTCTCAGATCATCATGAAGGATAACATGGAAAAACGTACCGTCGAAACTTTAGTCATGTAATTTAAGAAATTTGTGAAACCAGATGAAGAAGAAGAGGAAGTAAACGTTGACGAAGAAGAATTGGAAGGCGAAGTATAAGACGTTGAACCACCCTACGCTGAACCACTCTACGATGCACAACCCTCTAACCGAACATTACCTGAATCGCCACCGCAATCATCCGTATCACTACACCCAATACCACAACATCAGCACGGAACTAAAATTCCCGCGGTATCACCGTCTACGAGTGCTCTTAGAAGATCAGAAAGATTGAGAAACAAAGTGTCTAAGAATAACAATAAATGAACTATCTATATAATTCATTTGAACGAAATAACTTAAGAAAAAGATGAACAAAAAAATAAATAGATTAGGAATATTAATTCTAAGTTTACTGAGAACGACGCACAAGAAAGCCTTCAATTTCCGCCATGTTTGCCTTCACCTTTTCAGCCCGAGTGAGCCTTCCATGTTGTAAAATAATCAAATTATGTCGAAACGGTTAAATTAGAAGCATTTAAAAAATCAAATGTTAACTCTTCTGGCTATTAGCTCATATGCGCCCGCATTATTTACATGTTGAATATTCTATAGTACTTCATATAGCTAATTCTTTTTTCGCTTTCTCCTTTCATATCGAGGTTCTTGCGAATAATTTATGCAATTTTTTAAAGTAAGTTTATTATTTTTATTGTTTTACACTTGTTACTCTAGTGACAGTAGTTCAGCCCCCTGTGATTTTACAAGAGGAAAAAGGTAATATTATTAAGTTTTTGTCGACAAGTGACATTTTGACGATTTTACGATTCCATTTTTATAACGTAAATATCTCTGCGCGTATTCACCCCCTTTAAAACTAAGAATACCATTGAAATCCTAATAAAATAACTTTTTCAACGGGGGGTCAAATGTCATCAAAACATTACACATATATTTACTCACCGTTTGTTGGCCAAACATTCTGAATTTCGGCCTTTCCACACTAGGCTAAATAACTGGTGAATTGTTCAGAGTTCGCCACAAATCAATACGAGTAAAATATTCCTTCTATTCAAGCGCTTTTATATCCAGAATTTCATTTGAATACAGCCAGTAGAAATGTTTATTTTGAGATTTTAAAAATATCGGGTTCTTCTCGAACGCGCGTGCCACACGCTAAAATTGGCGAAAAAGAAATACCCGTAGCCCGATTTACATGCAAATCATGCCGCAGATGTATTTGACCTTTAGAATCGATTTCCGACGTTTCCCGAGCGCTAGGATGTAAACGCGCAATGTTTTGGCAAATCTAAATCGAATTTTCGGTCAAAAAATATCCCTCTGACTTCACTAATATCGCAACAGATTGAAATATCCAAATAACAGACGAAAAAACTGTGGCTACAAGCTTCAAAATAACACTGTAAATAATGTTTTTGATTGTGAATTGAACAAGACTACAACAAAAAGGATATGTTCGAAGGGGCCGAAGTTGTGTACGGAGAAAGGTATGGATTTTGTAATACATTAAAGATAAAGAGCAGAGCCCAGCAAAATAACTTTAAAACAAAACATAATAAAAGTAAAAAAAATATTAGCCAACGTTTCGTTGTTTACAAAACAACATCTCCAGAGCAATCTAAATGAATTTACAGGGTATGGTATATATATTTACAAAATAATGGTTCAATATTACAAAAACGATTACATAGTTTGAAAGAACAAATGAATAGAAAGAAAGGAAAACAACTTATCAGTAACTAGTTAATAAGTAAAGATTAATGTCTACTACATGATTAGTATTGTTAAGGTTAATATTACATAACTAAAATAACTCAAGAGGGGTAGATCTAATATTAGCATTAAGGATAGGGTTAAGTTGAGATATTAATAGCCTTTCAATGATAAGAAGATCTCACTCAGAAGTTCCTGATGGGGTGTTTGTGCATGTGTTTGTGAGCGAGTATACTAGACATGGTTGAGATGGAGCGTTCTTAGCTTTTCCAGTCAAAGGCGAGTCTCCCATATGCTCTAAGATACGTGTGTGAATGTGTCGGCGTGTTTGGCCAACATACAATGCGCTACAGCATTGACACGTGAACTGATACACAACATGTAATCTCAGGGCAATGGGAATGAGGTTGATGGTGTTGCAATGGGTTCACCACTTGGTCCACTGTTTGCAAACATCTTTCTATCATTCTATGAAAAATCTTGGTTAGCTGACTGCCCTTCTAACTTTAAACCTTTGTTTAATCGTCGTTATGTTGATGATTGTTTTCTGATCTTTCAATCCCGTATTCATGTGCTTCCCTTCCTCTTTTATCTCAATTCCAATCATTCAAATATTCAATTCACACATGAACTTGAAAGCAATTCTTCGCTACCTTTTCTAGATGTTAACGTAATGCGTTCAAACGGCTCATTAATTGGAAAATTTTAAGAAAACCTTTTCTTCTAATGGTTATCCTAAAGCTCTTATAGGTAGATGCATTAAGACATTTCTTAACAGGATTTACAACATCAAGGACAAGATCCATACATGTTCCAAGAAAATTGTTTACTTTTGCCTTCCTTTAACTGGACATCGTGGTCTACATATCCGTACACAAATTAGTAAAGTTCTTGCTTTTGCTTTTGCTTATCCACATATTTCCATACGTGTTGTTTTCCGTCCCTCTTGTCGCCTTTCTTGTTTCTTTCCATTTAAAGACAGGATTCCCATTACCCTGAGATCACATGTTGTGTATCAGTTCACGTGTCAATGCTGTAGCGCATTGTATGTTGGCCAAACACGCCGACACATTCACATACGTATCTCAGAGCATATGGGAGTCTCGCCTTTGACTGGAAAAGAACGCTCTATCTCAACCATGTCTAGTATACTCGCTCACAAACACATGCACAAACACCCAGTCTCCGCTTCTGATTTCAAAATCCTATCATCAGGCACTTCTGAGTGGGGTCTTCTTATCCGTGAAAGATTATTAAATCTCAACTTAACCCTGTCCTTAACGCTAATATTAGATCTACCCCTCTTGAATTATTTTAGTTATGTAATATTAACCTTAAATATACTAATCATGTACTAAACATTAATCTTTACTTATTAACCAGTTACTGATATGTTGTTTTCCTTTCTTTCTATTCATTTGTTCTTTCAAACTATGTAACAGTTTTTGTAATATTAAACCATTATTTTGTAAATATATATACCATATCCTGTAAATTCATTTAGATTGCTCTGAAGATGTTGTACTGTAAACAACGAAACGTTAGCTAATACATTTTTACTTTTATTATGTTTGGTTTTAAAGTTATTTGCCCGGCTCTGCTCTTTATCTTTAAACTAAGATTTCCGCCTGGTGTATCGATTCCACAGTTTTAGTGATACATTGCTTACATTTTTCAAACAAATACGCAATTTGTTGAAATATGATGCCTCTTGACACTTCAATAAAGGTCATGAATCGCTAAAATATTTGTCTTCGACTAAAACTATCATTAGGAATTAGAATATAATTTATCGCTGAATCGAATGGTGGTATTTTCATCTACATAGCATGTATCGAACCGAAAATATGAATATGCAAAATAGTATTCCAATATCGACCTATTTTCACAGGGCCTGTCGCCCAGGAGTTAAATTAAGTTCCGCAGTTTCCGCAGTTCGTGGTCTGCAGTTCCGTTAGTTAATCATACCCCTTAAATATTACTGTATTTAAGGGGTATGAGTATTTTACTGCTATTGACTTGGGCGATTTCTGAAGAGTTTAGGATTGATATTCAAGTCTTTCTCGATATGAAATACAGAATGTTTGGCCAAGCGGTAAGTAAATATACAATTGTTTTTGGTTTGTGTAATGCTATAACGGCATTTGACCCCCATTTGAAAGGTTATTTTATGAAGATTCCAACGACAGTTTCGTTTTAAAAGGGTGTAAATACTTGCGGAGATTTTCTAATATTTTCCATTCAGAAGTCGAAATATTATGTAATATTGACCGGATGACAATGATTTAAGGTTTAATCTTTTTACAGATCAATCATTACTACATTACTTTAAAAGATGAATCACAAACGTACTGAACAATTGGAATTTATGCTTGCTTATGCAATGTAATATTCGGTCAATAACCTTTCTTTAACTAGAAAATCTGATGATTTTGCTTTATGCTTGCAAATAATCAATCTTCTAATCTCAAAGAAAAATGCTAGTTCCGAGGCTGGTTCTGTCCAAAAACTGGGCAAATTTAAGCTATCAGTTATTTAACAATTATTCGCTAAAAGCGAGGTGATTATGGGTGAATAAAAAACGAGACAAAGTCGAGGTTTAAATTCACGATAATCACCAAGCCTGGGGTGAATAATTGTTTAGTGTGATTTCATCAGTGATTATTTGGAAAAAAAGTATCTATTTAT